GACTTATTCTCCAGACCCCTCACCATCTTTGTCGCCCTTCTCTGGACCCGCTCCAGCACCTCAATGTCTTTTTTATGGTAGGGGACCCAAAACTGGACACAGTACTCAAGGTGAGGCCTCACCAGTGCCGAGTACAGGGGGACAATCACCTCTCAGGCCCTACTCGCCACGCTGTTCCTGATACAGGACAGGATGCTGTTGGCTTTCTTGGCCACCTGGGCACACTGCTGGCTCATGTTCAGTCGACTGTCGACCATCACCCATGCCAAGAGGCACGCTTACAATTAATCACTGCAGGCAATTATGCAGAGGGCCCACCTCCATACCCCAGTCCTGTTTAGTCTAAGCTCTAGAAGGTCACATCTGTACTGGTACTAATGGGCTGCATGGATACCCCTGCATGTGTTTCCCTTCCTGGAGACCCTTTCCCACCTCTCTGTCTTCAGATGCGACCACCCCACTTCCAAAAACCATGGGAAGGGACAGGGGCAGCCCTGGCACAGCACCCATGAGGCATGTACCTCCCTCCCACTCCCGCACATAACACAGGGCATGGGGCAGTGTCATAGTCAACCATCACCCATGCCAAGAGGCACGCTTATAATTAATCACTGCAAGCAATTATGCAGAGAGCCCACCTCCGTACCCTGGTCCTGTTTAGTCTAAGCTCTAGAGGGTCACATCTGTACTGGTACTAACGGGCTGCATGGATACCCCTGCACGTGTTTCCCTTCCTGGAGACCCTTTCCTACATCTCTGACTTCAGATGCGACCACCCCACCTCCAGAAACCATGGAAAGGGATGGGGCAGCCCTGGCACAGCCCCCATGAGGCACGTACCTCCCTCCCACTCCCACACATAACACAGGGCATGGGGCAGTGTCATAAGACCTTGCCACTTTGGCATGAATTTCAATCTACTCAGGTTTTCTTTTCATCATGCTGCCACCCGGAAAACTTAATTATTATTTTTTTTCCCCCCTGTATTAAAAAAAAACAACTGTCTAGCCCTCATGGGCTTGGAGGGAAAAAGGGTGAAAATGGGATTCAGTTCCCCCACCCATCCAAACAAATGGGAAAGGAAAAAAAACCTAAATCAGGGCTTAAAAATCAGCAGCGTTCATGTTTTCTTTCTTCTCATGGTTCTCCTTACGTTTCATGATTTTTATTTTTATTTTTTAATGAGGTGCTGGAAATAGAGGAGATGGCTAAAAGCTGGAGAAATGTTAGATCTGAGCATCTGATTACCACCTCTCAAGACACTTACGGGGCTTTTTTTTCAGATTGAAATCATCTATCAAGGAGCACGCAGACGTGATATGAAGCCAATGTTCAGCAAATCAGCTCGGATCAATGGCAATCAGAAGATCCTGAGATCTTCTGCCCCCTCTCCCTTCAGGAGGAGGGGGGAAGATGAGTTCAAACTCCAGGTCAGGACTGCGGGTGTCACATCCTCGATTCATCTCTACTGTCAAAACCATCGGTCAAAGGCTCCGCAGCTGCTGACGGAGAAACAACTGCTTTGTGTTGAGCTTGCAATGCTTTAGGCAAACAACACAGAGGGGCCTGAAAACCAATTAATTATACAAATAATATTAGTGACTTCCTAAAGATGCTCAGCACTGGGAGTTCCCCTGCATCTCTGCAACAGTTTAGGGCCACTGCGTTTGCTCGGATATAAAAAAAAGAGTAACTAAAATCTGGCAAGAAAAGCAACATTTTAATTTCTTCTTTTTCTGCTTGTTTTCAGGCAGGACTTTTTCAGAAATGGTAGCACAAAAGGCAGTCTTTGAATCAACAGGCAATTATTTAATCAGGTACTTAATTGCAAAATACAAGAAATGAAGTGCCTTTTTAATCTATTTGGCAAAGTGAAACTGCGCCCTGTGATATCCGTAACACCTAAATCCCCTCATTTCTGGGGAAAACTCGTCTTGCATGTAAAGCGAGAAGTAAGAATAATTTCACTTTTGGCTTTAATTAGTTGGGAAAAGGGGATTTAGAAGCATGCAAACCACTTTGAGGAAGGAAAGCAAACTGACAAGACGCTGGAAATGAGGTTTATTAAAGATATATCAGATTCCAGTGATTTATATAATAAATGCATGAGAAAAAAAATCACAGAATCACAGAATTGCCTAGGTTGGAAGGGACCTTTAAGATCATCTAGTCCAACCATAAAAAAAAAACACCAACAAACAAACAAACAAAAAAACCCAACAAACAAAAAACCAAAACAGAACAAAAAAAAAAAAACAAACAACCACCAACCAGCCACACACCACACCCACACACCACCAACCAACACTAAACCATATCCCCGAGCACCATGTCAATTCGTCTTTTGAATGTCTCCAAGTGATGGTGCCTCAACCACTTCCCTGGGCAGCCCATTCCAAGGCTTGATAACCCTTTCCATGAAGAAATTTTTCCGAACATCCAACCTGAACCTCCCCTGCTGCAACTTGAGGCCATTTCCTCTTGTCCTATCACCTGTTCCTTGGGAGAAGAGACCAACCCCTGCCTCTCTACAGCCTCCTTTCAGGGAGTTGTAGAGAGCGATAAGGTCTCCCCTCAGCCTCTCCTCATAAGACTTATTCTCCAGACCCCTCACCAGCTTTGTTGCCCTTCTCTGGACCCGCTCCAGCACCTCAATGTCTTTTTGTGATAAGGGGCCCAAAACTGGACACAGCACTCGAGGTGAGGCCTCACCAGTGCCCAGTACAGGGGGACAATCACCTCTCGGGTCCTACTCACCACGCTGTTCCTGATACAGGCCAGGATGCTGTTGGCCTTCTTGGCCACCTGGGCACACTGCTGGCTCATGTTCAGCCGACAGTCGACCAACACCCCCAGGTCCTTTTCTGCCAGGCAGCTCTCCAGCCACTCTGCCCCCAGCCTGTAGCGCTGCCTGGGGTTGTTGTGACTAAAGTGCAGGACCTGGATGGGATGCTTTGACAAATAGGTGATGGAAAAGGGTTGATGTGGGCAAATTCTTTTGGACAAGAGTATTTGTCTGGGGGCTTCCAGCCCGGAAAGCCAACTGCATCCTGGGCGAGAAGTGTGGCCAGCAGGGCGAGGGAGAGGATTCTGTCCCTTCCCTCTGCTCTGCTGAGACCCCACCTGCAGTGCTCTAGGGCCCCAATATAAGAAGGACATGGACCTGTTGGAGTGAGTCCAGAGGAGGCTGGAAAGATGATCAGAGTCTGAAGCACCTCTGCTATGAGGCAGGCAATTGGGGTTGTTCAACCTGGAGAAGGCTCCAATGAGACCTTAGAGCCCCTTCCAGTACCTAAAGGGGGCCCACAGAAATGATGGGGAGGGACTCTTTATCAGGGAGTGTAGCAATAGGATGAGGGGGAATGGTTTTAAACTGAAAGAGGGGAGATTTAGATTAGATATAAGGAAGAAATTCTTTACTGTGAGGGTGGTGAGACACTGGCACAGGTTGCCCAGAGAAGCTGTGGATGCCCCTGAACCCTGGAGGGGTTCAAGGCCAGGTTGGATGGGGCTTTGAGCAACCTGGTCTGGTGGGAGGTGTCCCTGCCCATGGCAGGGGGGCTTGGAACTCAATGATCTTTAAGGTCCCTTCCAACCCAAACCATTCTATGATTCTGTGAAGGGATGCCCTGGCTGTATGCATACTTAAACACGGTGCTTCTTTCCAGGGCGGCGCTAGGCTCACCACCACCATGCTTCAAAACAAGATTATATTTTTTCTGAAGCGTGCTTTAACTCATATTTTGGGTAAAAAATCCATCAGCGGATGCACCCAGCCAGGCTGTGGCACTCCTGCTGTGATAAGTGCAGCCCTCAATGGGCCACCCACCCACAGGAGACCCTTGGAGATGACACCTGAGGGCTCCTCCGGCGCCTCAGGGCCACAGTCTTGGCTCTGCATCCAGAAAAAAAGAAAAAAAAATAAATTCAACGGCCGAATTTTGCCCATCTTCAAGTCCAAGTTTGGACCTTGCTAAGCCCACCTGACGACCTCGGTGCCTTTCGTGCCCAGCTTTTGGGTGCAACACGGAAGAAACGTGACATTTTTTGGTTGTTTGGTTTTTTTTGGTCCAGCTTCAGGGCAAAAATTCATCCCAGCGGGAGGGGACCTGGCTGCGAGGAGCGCAGGGTCCACCTCAGCACCGGCCAAGTTTACCTCAGGAAATGTTCCCAAACGCGGTATTTTCGGTCGTTCAAGGACGATTACCTCAGAAAAATACGAATTTCAGAGCGGAGCGCCGAGGGGGAGGGGAGGGAAGAAGGGAAAAAGGGGGTGGTGTTGTGGTGTGGGGGGGTGGTTTAACCCCGCCGTGCCCGGCGGCGGCATTTCTATTCAGGCGGCGCTGAGGGAGCCCGTCGCGCCCGGTGCATTGTGGGACTGGGGCTGGGAGTCCCGTTCGCGGGAGGAGGCGGAGGGCGAGGAGGCGAAGCCGGTAAGAGGGAGACCTGAGGAAGGAGGGAGGGAGGGAAGGCTTCATCGCGCCGCCGCCGCTTTAAAACCATCCGCCGCCGGCAACCGGCGGGGTAAATTTTTTGCCCGCCGGCATTTTTTTTTTTTTTTTTTTTTT